GGAACAGTTCATTGTTGGAGCTGAGCTGAATGAGAGAGAGAAAGAGAGAGATGCAGAGCAGGGGGATGCGAGGAACAGTATTAAGAACTGCTGCTTTAGAACATACATTTTTAAACTTGTGAATCCATTAGAATCATTAGAAGACAAAATCCCGATTCATATATGAATAGATATTTACGTGCACCTCTAGTTTTCTCTTCCTCTTCTCTAAAGCAGCGCAGCATGGCCTCGCCCCCTTTGCTGCCTTTTCCCGAGGGCGGGGTTAATCTGGGTTTGTGATGTCACAAACCCGGGAAGTAACTCGTTGTTGTCCCTACCAGCCGTTTTTGTAGGCATTAAACTGCCAGAATTTAAAAAGACGATATTTCCATTTGCATTGAACTTTCAGCTTCGCAACTTTGCAGATATTGTTTATGCTGAAACAGCAACATTACACACTAACTAACGTTAAAAAAGTGAAATCGCAATCAACTACACCTTTAAAAAAAAAAGTATGTTATAAAAGTTATAAAAACCTTTGCACACAGGTATCACACACATTTGTGTGCATGTATGTTTAGTGAACGAGACCCAATGTTTTTGAGAGACAGAAAAGGAAAGAAAACACACCTCTTGGCTCCACCAGCATCAGGAGAAACAATGGTGCAGTTCTTCCATTCATTGATGTTTTCTTTTATCCATTTGAGGACTGCCGGCTCAGCGTACAAGTTATCAACTGGGATGTCAAAGAACCCCTAACAACACACACACACAAAACACATTCACTCAAATTCAAACCATAAAAAAACTTTCAGTGTCCAAGTCTCAACTATAAAATGAAGAAATTTAAGGCGCACCCAGTTCTACTCAGGGCTGACTGTAGGATTATGTCTGTGATCTCTGTTCATGAGAGATAAGGGTTTGTTTTGAGCTTGTTTGGAGGAAAGGCACTGCACTGTTTTTACCTGAATTTGAGATGCATGAAGGTCCATAGTGATGATGTGGTCTGCCCCGGCTACAGACAGCATGTTGGCGACCAGCTTGGCTGAGATTGGAGCCCGACTCTACAGACAAAATTCTCACTCATAAACATACACTCATAAATAAGTAACATCACAACCACTAGCCAGATACACATTAACAGGAAGATAGAGAAGGGCTAAGCAAGCATAATTAGCTATGCCTTGTAAGTTTCCAACCTGCATATTCCTTCTTTGTAGCTATGGAAGTGAAACTAACTCTATTAAAAATAATTATAAATAATGAAAAAACGCAGCAGAATTTCACGAGGGTACATTTAATAGCGTTATAACTCCTCACGTGGCAAAGGAGGCCAGACAGTACGTTTAAAATTAGCATTAGCGGCCCCGGAGTCACATGGTTAATGCAGGTGCATGCTGGGAAATTGAGTCTGGTGCCTGTACGAGGCGCATTGCGCCAGATGACACCTTCCAATTCAGAAAACTACAAACTAAAAAAAACATGTGGTTGCCATGTGTTTACCATTCCGTTTACCCTAGCCAAAATATTCCGGGAAATCAGTTGCAAATCTGACTGTAAATAACTCACCAGGTTTCCTGATTGCTGAATTTTTTGGTGACCACTTTCCCCAGTTCGAGTCCCAATCGGTCCGCGATCTTCTGCGACAGATCCGGATGCGAACTGCCTGAAAAGATCTTAATGTTTGGCATTCTGGGCTGATCCGTGGTGCCTATAGTGTCGGGATGGTGTACAGTGTTTTTAAAAAAACACTGTAAGCTAAAATGACCTCTTCTAAATCAACGTTTAATCTCAATAAAGTAAGTGAAGAGGGCCTGGTGCAGGTCGTCTCGTCTGAATCTGATCCGTCCGCGCGCAGGCAGCAAAAGCCACTAGTATGTGCCATCGTAGCCCCGCCCACTTCAGTTAAACACGCCCATTAACTGTGGCGCGCGTCAATTTCGGCGCTGTGACTAGACATATTTCTGGGGGCTAGATGACTGGCAGCTAAACAGACATATACTAAACACACTTTATGATGTTCCAGCGTTTCGCTTGCGTTCGTGCACACTCGATCAAAAATGACATTGCTTAATTTAGTTTTAGATAGGGATTTTTTTTTTACCTTTATTAACACCGGGACCGCTAAGCGGTCTCTCAGCCAACTAGATTTGCTAGATTTTCTCGATAACTTTTTGAAATCACTTTCATTAAGAACAATATAACAAATCGTTTGACAGTTAGAAACCAGTTAAAGGCACAATATTTAAGATTTTTTTATTAAAATATCCGAAAACAGTGAAACAAAAACCAAAAACAGAGTTATATATTTAGCTGACTTGTGTAATTACATTATCTCAAATGTTTCAAAGAATTTTTAAATCCAGAGAAATAAGTAATTTTAACTAGTGACACGGACCGTGTCTATAGTGTCATTGTGTCGCCTGCCAATGACGTCATAACCCCTCGATTTCCGGTTTTGTTTTGTAGAAAACATGGAACCACCAAAGACGCTGTATTATGTTGTGCTTTTTAATAGACCGGTGACGACCGCACAGAGTAGCATAATAACAGAACTTTCAAATGTATCTAGTATGATCAAACAGCGCTGCTTACTTCCGCTGCTTTCCGTAAGGAGCGGAAGCGGTCGACTGTGGCATAATAAAAGCTCCGCTGCTTTCGAGCCGTGTTCAGCGGCCTCGTTTCGCTTCGATGGCTTTCAGCCTCACCCTGGTTCATTCTACTACGTTAATAAATCATTAGCTCATCCATGAACATGATTTCTGCCCGAGTCCCTTCGGATTGCATCAGCTGTGGGGATGAAGACAACAACTCCCATGATTCCACACTCAGTCACCACGGTGAAAGCCGATCCGGCGATCCACAGCGCAAAGGTTTAGTATTTTCTCAGCGACCAGCACGGATCAGCTCCAGGCATGACGAAGCGGATATCGTCCTCTTTTGGAAGACCAAACAAAGTAGTTTCGCTTTCACAACGAAGCACACAGCGTCTCCACAACATGGCGGCGGCAACAATACTACAGCGAGAATAAAAGTTACGCCCTTTGCGTGAACATTTGGGTGGCGTTATGCAAATCTTCCCACATAGTGAGGTAGATATGTGGGGGAGTGTTAGAACGAGCCGTTTTAGGTAGGCGTGGTTGACTCTTAACTTTTATAAAGAATATCTCTTTGGATTTGAGACTTTAGTCTTTGCAACTTTACAGATCTTCTTTATGCACCAAGAGCTTGTAACACTCCAAAGAGAAAGGAAAAATTGAAATCGCATCATATGACCCCTATAAAACTGTCTTGTGAATCATATATATAGCTTATATACAGTTTAAATATTAACAAACATTTGCAATGAACTCATTTTGCAATGACCCTACGCTTCATAAAACATGTAAATTATGTCTCCAGTGCAGCTGGTTTATCTAATTTTTAAGTGAATTCCTAGGAGGAAAAAACTCTGGTTGCTATAGTAAATAATGCACTCTAGTGGTAAAAGAGGTGTAGTCTGTGTTCCTAGGACTGCTTTCTGTTGTATAGTGGGCAAAACCGCCATCAAAACTGATTTAGAGATAGGCAAGTGAAAACAATGTCAGAGAATCGATAAAGCCTGATCAAATTAGTTTTGTTCATGTTTCCACAAACAAAAACGAGTCAGTACTGAAACGAGTGATCAAAAG